ACGTCGACGTCTTCAAAGTTCTTCAGAACCGAAATGAACGCAAGTGTCACCGAATCGTACAGATGTCCACAAATATGACTGAATTCAGTGAACTCTGCGAAGACGATAAGATAGCACTCCTGAAGAAGGGCTGCACAGAGATTATATGTCTGCTAACTGTTGTCACTTTTGACTTCGAGGGCGAGTTCTGGACGGTTCCCATAGTATGAAGTTTTTAGTTTACTGTATTTAATTACAATTTAATATTTTTTGTATAACTATTAGGATGATGAAAACGCGGCACAGGTATCACTGGATGTGCTGAAGTGGGGCAAATGGAACCTCTATGACCTGCACCGGCAGTTCATGTTTAATGTCTATCAAGAATATAACTCCGATATGAATATTATTGATTTGGTATTTATTTTATAAATTAATTTAGTTTTTAAACTCAGTATTACAGTAAACTCTTTTTGAATTGAGTAGTTGACAGCTATTTTGCTGTTTAATCCAAACCAATCAAATCTGATCCATAAAGATATGATAAAGTGAGTGATAAATGCTATTAAATTTTATTTATTGATGAAAAAAATAATATATTATTTTCATCGGTAGACTCCAACAGCAGACTTATAAGTATTTACTGCAACGCTATTTAGAGATTAAACACAACTCTAAGAGTGAATCCGAGACCCGATTCTTGCGATTAATGAATTGTTTGAATGAGTTGTATGCAGTCAATGAGATTCACGTGAAAAACTATATTAATAGCCCGAATAAAAAGCCGGGCGCTCTTGTTGAAGAATTATATGATTTAAATAACTGAAAACAATTATATTTTCAAAATAAATACTCAACAATTTTATCGATGTTTTCAATTTAGATAGTATTTTTTAAATTATTCTTAAAGTACAAGGTAAACTATTATTAAATACATGATTTTTAAGTATCTCATTAAATATTGTATAGTTAATTTTATTATATTATGTTTGTAATTGTGTCTGAATTGTATGTTACCATTTAATTTCACACTTGCACATATAATACATAAATAATATGAAAAGAAATAATTGTAAGATTAATAAATCAAAATTAAATAACCGAATCTGAAGTTACAAGCTTATTTATGTTATGAATTTTATCTTGTAACATAATTTGAAGTAACGTATACTATAGTAATAAAACGGTATGACGTAAAACAATGATAATTGTGTAGGCACATGCTTACGTTGTAAATTTACTAATGAATAATTTCAATTTGTAATAACAATAAATCATAAAATTTATTGTGTATAAAACAACCCAACAAAATCATTTATAAAAATACAAATAATAAAATTCTGCCAATAAAATATCAATAAAATTCAATGTTTCAAAACTAGCAAAAATTTTAAAAAAACTTTTAAACATCTTAAAATTATTTATAATCAAAAATAAAATCAAATTTTAGATTTATAAATAGATAACTTACCTTTTTAACCAAAGTGAGATTGACGGAAAATACGAATACAGTACAATCATTAAAAACAATTATTAAATATCTGAAAAGTAAGTTAATTAAAATATTAATATTAACATTTGACGAGTGTTTTTAATAACCTGTATTTTAACATAGTCTTTTCAAAGCATTATTTTAATGGATAATTTCCTTTCATTTTATATTTCTAAAATATTTTAAATTATTTATTTTAAACATTTCTACTTTCATTTGTAGATTGGTTTAAGTTTAATGAGAAAATGAGTGAAAAAGTGTGTACTGTTTGCGGCGACCGAGCATTGGGTATGAAATCACAATATTTTTATTTTATTTTAAATTAAATAATAGATCATTATTAGAAAATCACCAATATTCATGATTACAATATGTTATTATTTATGCTTGATAACTATCAAGTATAAGGATTATTAGTGTATCAGTAAATAATCAAGTTTTATTGTATTTAAACCTTCAATGAAAGTGTAAATTGTAATTTTTACATGAAAATGAATTAACTGACTTAGTAGCTTGTTGATTAGGTCGTAACTTCGGAGTCATCTCATGCGAGCCCTGTCGTACATTTTTCAGGAGGAATTCCAATAGAGCTCAGGTTTACCATTGAAATGAATACCTATTAATTACTAATATATTTAAATATCTATACTTTGATAGGAATTTGCATGTTATTTTGGGAAACAATGTTTGATGAGTCGATTAACGCGAAAAAATTGTAAAAAGTGTAGAATCGAGAAATGTTTCGCTGTGGGAATGATCAGGGTATGTATAAACACTAATTCCCTTTTATTAATAGTCTTATAACTAATATAATTAAAATGTATAAACAAAGGAATGGCTTCCAAGTGAAAGACAACTTGAAGTTCAGCCCATAAGTAATAAAACACAAACTCATGAAACCCAGGATTATGTAATAAATGCCACAACAAATGAATCCATTGTTTCTCATAAAAGTGATGACAATCGGGATATAGTGAATCCAATCTCAAACTTCATAAGAGGTGTTATTTTTAAATTTAATGAATTGGAAAGTAATCGATTGAAACAATTATTTGAATCAACGGCTTATATGAGAGACAGCAATCATTTTAAAATAGCTTTTAAAACGCAAACATTTTCCGATGCCTTCCGACTCATACAAATGAGTACTGATAACAAGTGTCGAAGATTTATAAAAATGTGTAAAAATATGTCTGAATTCAGTCAACTGGGCAAAGACGACAAATTAGGACTTTTGATGGACGGCTTTCCTAAGATTATAAGCCTTTTATCAGTTCTTAATTTTAATTTTGAGGGCAGATTCTGGACCTTACCCTTTGTATGCAATGATTATATGGTTTATAAAAATAGGAATTAATTATTCGACTATTTTTAGGACAATGAAAACGCGGCACAACTTTCTATGGATGTAATCAAGAGTCACGAATTGCTTCCCACAGAAATACATTATAAATTCATGAAAAATGTTCAGCAAGAATGCAAATCCGATATGACCATGCTTGATTTGGTATTTATATTAATATAAAATATAGGCTGTACAAGAATATATCATATTTATGATTTAACATAACTATAGTTATCCGCTGTTTTACTATTCAATCCAAACGGTTCAATTCTGGTCCATAAGCATTATATTACGTGAGTTATGAATTTGATGTATAATGTCAATTATCTTGAAAAATTTGAGTTATCTATTTATAATTTATATAATCTCTTAGATTACAACAGAAGACTTACATGTATTTACTTCAACGCTATTTAGAGATTAAACACAACTCTAAGAGTGAATCCGAGACCCGATTCTTGCGATTAATGAATTGTGTGAATGAGTTACATGTTATCAATGAGTTTCGTATTCAAAACCGTACCTATTACTCTCCTTATAAAAACATATCACCTCTAATTAGACAGTTATATGAAATAGATTTGTAATTTCGAAAGAGTTTTATAATTATTTGATTACATTTTGTAATATATTTAATTTAACTTGAAATGCCTTTAAAATATAATTTTATTAAGTGATTTTCAACTGCGAAATTGCATTTGCATTAATATAAGACTTATATTACTTATTTGACTATAAGACTTATATTATAAGTTAAAAATGAATTCTGTTTTGATATTATGTATTAGCATAATGTACTTTACTCACTTGTCAATACTGTACTGTACTGTACACAAGTGAAAATATGATGTTTATAAATATTTTCTTTAGTTTAATATAAATTCATTATTTGCTATACTATTTGCAAAGTAATATTTTTGAAACCCAGAATTATATCAAAGTTTTCTGAAGCATTAAATAATGGATGAGTGTTTTCTTAATGTAAATATTATAGTGTTATGTGTTTGTGTTAATTGTATGTCTCATCTAGATTGTGCAAAAAGAAATTATCTCAAAATCTGGAGAAACTTTCTAGAAATATTTCTCCAGTTTCCGGAAATATTTCTAGAAATTATCTTTCAATGTCAGGCCCATGTTAGTTATTTTTAAGTATTCAATTATTTAAAGTATATCATGTTAATTATGATTTACTAATTAATTATTAATTATACATCAATTATATGTAGAGCAACCCTTATTTTGATGTATCAAAACAAATAAATTTCTAATAAAAATTATTTTAAAATTTATTAGTAAATAATTTCTTAAATAATTCATTGATGGCGCTGTATGTTATTTGAAAGTTATGACATCTTGATAGAATTTAAACAGTTATTATTTTAAATATTTGATTATAGAGAATAATGTTTAAATGTATTTATTCGATTAACCAAACAAATTAGTTACATTATAGACCAAGTTTAAGTATTTTCAGTTTCTAATTATTTATCATGGGCCTGACCATGTTGTACTATATAATAAGCCTAATATAATCTGACAAAATTATAAAATTAAAACATTTTTTTATAATTTGAATTATAATGTAAATAAAGTTATAAAATATTTAAATAATAAATGCTAATGCTAAATTATCTAGCTATTTATTATAATAAATACTAATGTGATTTTAATTTACAATACAGTAACTGTAGTTATAATAATTATTATTAGAATTATAAATTAAGATATAAATTAATTCAAATATTAAGATATAAGTTACTTTATAGATTTTAATTGAATTATAACTCAAGTTCTTTAAAATTAATTAAAATCTGATTAGTTTTACTTATAATTTGGTATTTATTTTGTTTTGTAACTCCATTTTATTTGCTTGAGATGTACACATCAAAGTATTATATATTGACGTAATTTATGTGCATATAAAATATATTTTCCCATTTATATCATATTTGTTTCTATATTCAGCGTTTGTACTTGATTTAAAGTGTTTAAAATACACTTATTTAATGTCCTAAACACATAAATAATTCAAAAATAAATTTTAATGAGAGTTATAAGAAAATTTCTCATTTCATGACGAGAAATTTTCTAGCAAGTTCCTTTTGTACAAGTCTAGTTTCATCATGATATTATGATTATTGATTAGAGAGAAAATTCATACTATAATTCTTATACTATAAATATAACTAATAGTTTATTAACATGGAGGGCATTTTATATTTTACTAATCATAACTAATAATTTTGATTTTGGAAATTGTCAATATTTTATTAAAACACTTGTATGTATCAAGGAAACCTGTGTTTAATTAGTAAGTTTTTAACCTGCAAAATGTTTTATATTTAGATTTTGAAAAATATGCATACAAAGCTATTTTAAAAATATTTACTTTAGCATTATACAATGTGCAATTTGATGATGCCATTCCGGTTTTATAATTAACATTACACATTTAATTAATTAATTATTTAGAAAAAAAATTAAAAAATATATTTGACATTTTGAAATATATGATCTAAATAACTGAAAACAATTGTATTTTCAAAATAAATACTCAACAATTTAATCGATGTTTTCAATTTAGATAGTATTTGTTAAATTATTCTTTAAGTTCAAGGTAAACTATTATTAAATGCATGATTTTTAAGTATCTCATTAAATATTGTATGGTTAATAAATTTATTATATTATGTTTGTAATTGTGTCTGAATTGTATGCTACCATTTAATTTGACACTTGCACATATAATTCATAAATTATATGAAAAGAAATAATTGTAAAATTAATAAATCAAAATTAAATAACCGAATGTGAAGTTACAAACTTATTTATGTTATGAATTTTGTCTTGTAACATAATTTGGAGTAACGTATACTATAGTAATAAAACGGTATGACGTAAAACGGTATGATAATTGTGTAGGCACATGCTTACCTTGTAAATTAACTAATGAATAATTTCAATTTGTAATAACAATAAATCATAAAATTTATTGTGAATAAAACAACCCAAAAAATCATTTATAAAAAACAAATTTTAAAAACCTGCTAATACAATATCAATAAAATTCAATGTTTCAAAACTAGCAAAAATGAAAAAAAATAAACTTAAACATCTTAAAATGATTTATAATCAAAAATAAAATAAAATTTTAGATTTATAAATAGATAAGTTACCTATTTAACCAAAGTGAGATTGACGGAAAATACGAATCATTAAAAACAAATCATTAAATATCTGGAAAGTAAGTTTATTAAAATATTAATATTAACATTTGACGAGTGTTTTGAATAACCTGTATTTTAACATAGTTTTTTCCTTTTATTTTATATTTCTAAAATTTTTAAAATTATTTATTTTAAACATTTCTACTTTCATTTGTAGATAAGTTTAAGTTTAATGAGAAAATGAGTGAAAAAGTATGTACTGTTTGCGGTGATCGAGCACTGGGTATGAAATCTCAATATTTTTTATTTTATTTTAAATTAAATAATAAATCATTATTAGAAAATCATCAATATTCATGATTACAACATGTTGTTATTTATGCTTGATAACTATCGAGTGTAAGGATTATTAGTGTACAGTATCATTAAATAAACAAGTTTTATTGTATTTAAACCATCAATGAAAGTGTCAATTGTGATTTTTACATGAAAATGAATGAACTGACTTAGTAGCTTGTTCATTAGGTCGTAACTACGGAGTGATCTCATGCGAGCCCTGTCGTATATTTTTCAAAAGGAATTCCAATAGAGCTCAGGTTTACCATTGAAATGAATACCTATTAATTACTAATATATTTAAATATCTATACTTTGATAGGAATTTGCATGTTATTTTGGTAAGCAATGTTTGATGAGTCGATTGACGCGAAAAAATTGTAAAAAGTGTAGAATCGAGAAATGTTTCGCTGTGGGAATGATCAGGGCAAGTATAAATACTAAAACCCGTTTATTAATAGTCTTATAACTAATATAATTAAAATATATATACAAAGGAATGGCTTCCAAGTGAAAGACAACTTGAAGTTCAGCCCATAAGTAATAAAACACAAACTCATGAAACCCAGGATTATGTAATAAATGCCACAACAAATGAATCCATTGTTTCTCATAAAANAAAATATATATACAAAGGAATGGCTTCCAAGTGAAAGACAACTTGAAGTTCAGCCCATAAGTAATAAAACACAAACTCATGAAACCCAGGATTATGTAATAAATGCCACAACAAATGAATCCATTGTTTCTCATAAAAGTGATGACAATCGGGATATAGTGAATCCAATCTCAAACTTCATAAGAGGTGTTATTTTTAAATTTAATGAATTGGAAAGTAATCGATTGAAACAATTATTTGAATCAACGGCTTATATGAGAGACAGCAATCATTTNATGACAATCGGGATATAGTGAATCCAATCTCAAACTTCATAAGAGGTGTTATTTTTAAATTTAATGAATTGGAAAGTAATCGATTGAAACAATTATTTGAATCAACGGCTTATATGAGAGACAGCAATCATTTGAAAATAGCTTTTAAAACGCAAATATTTTCCGATGCCTTTCGACTCATACAAATGAATACTGATAACAAGTGTCGAAGATTTATAAAAATGTGTAAAAATATGTCTGAATTCAGGGAACTGGGCAAAGACGATAAAATAGAACTTTTGATGGCCGGCTTTCCTAAGATTTTAAGCCTTTTATCAGTTCTTAATTTTAATTTTGAGGGCAGATTCTGGACCGTACCCTTTGTATGCAATGATCATATGATTTATAAAAATAGGAATTAAATAATCGGCTATTTTTAGGACAATGAAAACGCGGCACAACTTTCTATAGATGTAATCAAGAATCACGAAATACATTATAAATTCCTGCAAAATGTTCAACACGAATGCAAATCCGATATGATCATGCTTGATTTGGTATTTATATTAATATAAAATGTTATTTGTACAAGAATATATCTCACATTTATCATTTATCATAACTATAGTTATCCGCTGTTTTACTATTCAATCCAAACGGTTCAATTCTGATCCATAAGCATTTTATTGCGTGAGTTATCAATTTTATATATAATGTCAATTATCTTTAAAAATTTCTATTTATAATTTATATAATCTCTTTAGACTGCAACAGAAGACTTACATGTATTTACTTCAACGCTATTTAGAGATTAAACACAACTCTAAGAGTGAATCCGAGACCCGATTCTTGCGATTAATGAATTGTGTGAATGAGTTGTATGAGTGTCGTAGTCGTATTCAAAGCCTAAGTACTATGACCATCCATATAAAAACATATCACCTCTAATTAGACAGTTATATGAAATAGATTTGTAATTTCGAAAGAGTTTCATAATTATTTTATTACATTTTGTAATATATTTAATTTAACTTGAAATACTTTTAAAATAAAATTTTATTAAATATTTTCAATTGTGAAATTGCATTTGCATTAATATAAGTTTAAAATGAATTGTGTTTTGTTATAGTACCATACAGTAATGTTTCAGTATTTTGCTCACTTGTTAGAAACTGTACTGTACTGTACACAAGTCAAAATATTATGCTTACAAATATTTTCTTTAGTCTAATATAAATTCATTATTTGCTATACTATTTCCAAAGTATTATTTTTAAAACCCAGAATTATATAGTAGTTTTTGAGACATTAAATAGTGGATGATTGTTTTCTTAATGTAAATATTATAGTGTAATGTGTTTGTGTTGAGTGTATGTTACATTATGATTATTGATTTGAGAGAAAATTCACACTATAATTCCTATACTGTAAATGTAACTATTACACATTAGTTTATTAACATAGAGGGCATTTTATTGTTTACTAATCATAACTAATAATTTTGATTTTGTAAATTGTCATTATTTTATTAAAACACTTGTATATATCAAGGAAACCCGTGCTTAATTAGTAAGTTTTTAATCTGCAAAATGTTTATATTTAGGTTTTAAAAAACATGCATACAGTTACATAGCTATTTTTAAAAATGAAATTTTACTTTAGCATTATACAATGTAAAATTTGATGATATTATTCCGTTTTTATAATTAAAATTAAACATTTAATTAATTAATTAGTTAGAAAAAAAAGATTTTAAAAATATATTTGATATTTTTACGGTTGATTTTTACCCTTGTGAATTTCGAAAAATATTATTTTTTATACACCAGGATATTTGGTGTTTGAAGTGATTGAGTTATTAGTACTTAAATGGTTAAATTTAATTACAAATCATAATTGCTTAAATTGCTTAGATTTTATGTAAGCTTTCAAATCTAAATCTTCTAAATATTTGCACTTAATGTTATTGAATGTATTGTGACATCAATATAATAAAATTAAATACCAGAAAAACCCACTCAACCATTAATACCGGTACAAACAAATACACATTTACAAGTATTTCACACTTGTAAGTTACACTTGTACAATTTAACAAAAATGAATTTTCATTTTCTTACAATTATTATTTGTAAATTTATTTTAATATCGAAATTTTATAATTTATTAAAATCGGTGTATTCTGTAATATATAATTAATTGTGTTAACCACATGCTTACACAATATCATACCTGTAGTAATAAATAATTGTAATCACAGTTTCTATAAATCATAATTTAGTTGTAAACAAAATAACAATAATTTTATTTTAATAAAAAATAATATTATAAAATACATTTAAAATAAATATATAACTGTAAATACAAAATAAATCTCATTGTTTCACTACAACATTTAATAAAAATTGTAACTTGTTAGTATATATCATCAAAGTTGATGCTACCTATATTTATAAATTAAAATTAGAAAACTGTTATATTATATTAAAAATAAAAATTATAAAGTAATTGAACAAGTTTGTAGATTGATAAAAATTATTTATTATATAATAGTATTTATTAATCAAATAAGTTTTTTATTAAAAATATTTATTTTATTAAGCAAAAACTAAAACAAAACAAAGTTGTCAAACTTAATACATACTTATAATTTTAAATCAAATTTATTGTAAATGTTTAAATAATTATGTTAATTATAAACTTATAATATACTTTGCATAATAACGTAATGATAGTGTAAATGTTTAAATAATTATATAATTTAAATGCTAAGGATATAACACTAAAAATTTCCCAAAAATAAAACTTGTCTCAAATGAGTCAGTGATTCAGAATCACAATAGCATACAAATAATACTTTGGGTAATATTATACTATTCATTGGGTACATGGACATTTTTACCTAATTTTATCTGTGAGTTTATGAATGAAATAAGACTACTCAATATTTCTGAATGACATTAAAAAAGATTTATAAATTGAACACTTGTTTGACAGGAGGAAACATACTTTTAAAATAATTTTTAATAAATACCGCAATCAATTATTGTCTGTCATTATTATTATTGAATTTAATCTCAACTCTTGTTTTTCTTAATTAAACGCTAAATTTTACCGTTATATTCAATTGAATATACATGAATCTGCAACTAAAATTTGTACATCGCTAATGCCTATTGTTTATGCTTAATTTAAAATTAAAATAAATTTTAATATATTAATAGTTAATTTTATATTTAAATATTAGAAAGTTTTAACCTAATGAGTGATAGATTGTGTGCTGTTTGTGGTGACCGAGCACTGGGTATGTGTTTATAATTCATAATAATTACATTGATGATATGTAAATGATATAAATTTATTTCGTATTAAGGCTATAACTTCGGTGCCCTTACGTGTGAGTCCTGTCGTACATTCTTCAGAAGGAGTGTCAATAGAGCTCAGGTGTGTTCATATTAAATGAATATTAATTAAAACATATTACTTGTGAAAGGAATTTGTATGCTTTTTCAATGACAAGTGTGTAGTGGACTGTATGACACGGAAATTCTGTAAAAAATGTCGAATAGAGAAATGCTTTGCCATTGGAATGAAAAGAGTAATTATTTTCATATAATTTGTATTTAATTATATTATTTTTACAATTTTATATAATATTTGACTTTTGTTGAAGTTAATGTTTCCTTTCGGAAGGGATCGCAGAATCAAAAGCAATCACAGAAACCATTCAACAGATTCCGCAACCGATTTGGTTAACGTGAATAGCATTCATGTCAACCACAATATAGTCCCTCACATCCCATCCCTCATAAGAGAACTGATCTTTAGTTTTAATGAGTTAGAAATGCATCGATTGAAACAGTTATATGTCAACCACAATATAGTCCCTCACATCCCATCCCTCATAAGAGAACTGATCTTTAGTTTTAATGAGTTAGAAATGCATCGATTGAAACAGTTATTCAGTTCAACCACTCATATCAGAGATAGCGAGACAAATAAGATGACCACAAAAGCCGAAACAAATATAGATTTCATAAAAGCACTGATAATACGATCGGACATTAAATGTAGAGGAATTATAAAGATGTGTAAAGGTATGGATGAGTTCAAGGAGTTGTGCGAAGACGACAAAATCATTTTACTGAAGGCCTCGTGTCCTGAGATCACTTGTTTGCTATCTGTACTCACCTTTGATTTTGATGGCGAATTCTGGACGGTTGCCACTGTATGTCTGGATTAATGTCTATCTTGGTGACCGAGCACTGGGTATGTGTTTATAATTCATAATAATTACATTGATGATATGTAAATGATATAAATTTATTTCGTATTAAGGCTATAACTTCGGTGCCCTTACGTGTGAGTCCTGTCGTACATAGACGACAAAATCATTTTACTGAAGGCCTCGTGTCCTGAGATCACTTGTTTGCTATCTGTACTCACCTTTGATTTTGATGGCGAATTCTGGACGGTTGCCACTGTATGTCTGGATTAATGTCTATCTCATTAGTTTGATGATAATTTAAATGTTAATAGGACTCTGAAAATGCGATTATATTACCGTTAGATATGTTAAAGTATGGCACACAGAAACTCTATGACAGTTATAAGAAGTTCATGTATACCGTAAAAGTTGAATACGAGTCCGATACCAATTTAATTGATTTGATATTTTACAATAAATAAATTATTTGCATTTATAATTTCATAATGTTTTATATATTTGTATAGTTAATGGCAATCATACTCTTCAATCCCAATCGACCCAATTTGATGCAAAAAGATATTGTTAAGTGAGTTGTAGTCTACAACTCGTAGACCATATTAATAACTAAATTTATATATTTATTTTAATCACTTATTTAAATTTATTTTTGTTTTTCCATTGATAGACTTCAACAGAAGACTTACATGTATTTACTTCAACGCTATTTAGAGATTAAACACAACTCTAAGAGTGAATCCGAGACCCGATTCTTGCGATTAATGAATTGTGTGAATGAGTTACATGTTATCAATGAGTTTCGTATTCAAAACCGTAAGTATTACTCTCCATATAAAAACATATCACCTCTAATTAGACAGTTATATGAAATAGATTTGTAATTTCGAAAGAGTTTTATAATTATTTGATTACATTTTGTAATATATTTAATTTAACTTGAAATGCCTTTAAAATAAAATTATATTAAGTAATTTTCAACGGGGGATACTAAAGTGCCCGGTTGTTGGCCCGGGCCCGGTGTTTGGCCCGATTGTTGGCCCGCATGCACTTATCTCGGGAAATTTTTCATAATGAATTATACCCATGTGATATATCAATTCAAGAGATTTTAACGGAGAATGCGATTGTATATGGAAAAATTTTATATACCTGAGTAATCATGCAAATAATGTAGAATTTGTGACAAAAACTGTTAAAAATCACAATATTTCATTTAAATCTTGGGTTTTCTATATTATTATTTACACCGTCATATTCAGAGTGAAATTCTCTACCAAATTTGTATATCACATATCCATATTTATAAGGGAGATATTTCCCGATAAAAGTGGCCACTGTAGCTGGCCACTATGCAATAGAAATTACATAGTTATATTTCTAGTAGGATGTTTAGTAAAAATTAAACAAATTCCTGGTTGCCAGTTGGGAATCTAGTTTTTATTTTAATGGGTTTAGTCATAATGTCCAATTTTATTGGAAAATATTTCCGTTATAAATATTGACATGTGGTTTAACGATTTGGTAGAGAATGTTTCTCTGAGTATGGAGGTATAAATAATAATATAGAAAACTCAATATTTAAATGAAATATTCTGATTTTGCAGTTTTTGTCACTAATTCTACATTATTTACATGATTACTTAGGTTGATTGAATTTTCACATGTGTCATCGTATTCTGTATAAAAATCCCTATTGAATTGATATATCACATGAGCATATTCATTACGAAAATTTTCCCGATATAAGTGGCCACTGCGCCCGAACTCGAGGTCACAGGACAATATAAATTAGATATTCGGACTCCTCGTCCAAAGTTATATAAGAATTAATAATTATTTCCCGGGTGCCAGCTTAGGTCAAATTCGAACGTGTTCTTTGTAAAATTTAGCGTTATTTTTAAATTTTATTAAATAAATAATAATTTATTTGAAATCCTCATGTTTGAATTAGTCAGAAAAATATTTTCATTTGTTAAAATCGGTAAACATTTAATAAAATTAACATCGATTTCTACTTCTTTAAATCTCCATAGCGGCTAAACCGTTCTATGAAAGTTGCTAAATTTTACATATATTATATATTTTAATGTCCTCGACAAGATTAGCTAATAAAATTGACCGGGAGAGCTGGTTAATTATCCCATAGATACGCAGTCATCCTCCTTTACTAATGAATAATTTCAATTTGTAATAACAATAAATCTGTTCGGCCAGAATGAGACGTACCTCTGAAAAATTGCTTTTATTTCTTCTTGAAACATTGCTTTTATGTAAAGTTTAAAATTTATAAGGTTTAATATAAGTAAATTTCAAACTTTACATAAAAGCAATGTTTCAAGAAGAAATAAAAGCAACTTTTCAGAGGTACGTCTCATTCTGGCCTTTCAGAAATCATAAAATTTATTGTGTATAAAACAATCTAACAAATCATTTATAAAATTACAAATAATAAAATTCTGTTAATAAAATATCAATAAAATTCAATGTTTCAAAACTTGCAAAAATTAAAAAAATAAACTTTTAAACATCTTAAAATTATTTATAATCAAAAATAAAATCAAATTTTAGATTTAAAAATAGATAACTTACCTATTTAACCAAAGTGAGATTGGCGGAAAATACGAATACAGTACAATCATTAAAATCAATTATTAAATACTGTATCTGGAAAATAAGTTAATTAAAATATTAATATGAACATTTTGACGAGTGTTTTTAATAACCTGTATTTTAACATAGTCTTTTCAAAGCATTATTTTAATGGATAATTTCCTGTTATTTTATATTTCTAAAATTTTTAAAATTATTTATTTTAAACATTTCTACTTTCATTTGTAGATATTTTTAAGTTTAATGAGAAAATGAGTGAAAAAGTATGTACTGTTTGTGGTGATAGAGCATTGGGTATGAAATCAATATTTTTTATTTTATTTTAAATTAAATAATAGATCATTATTAGAAAATCACCAATATTCATGATTACAATATGTTATTATTTATGCTTGATAACTATCGAGTGTAAGGATTATTAGTGTATCAGTAAATAAACAATTTTATTGTATTTAAACCATCAATGAAAGTGTAAATTGTAATTTTTACATGAAAATGAATTAACTAACTTAGTAGCTTGTTGATTAGGTCGTAACTTCGGAGTCATCTCATGCGAGCCCTGTCGTGCATTTTTCAGGAGGAATTCCAATAGGGCTCAGGTTTACCATTGAAATGAATACCTATTAATTACTAATATATTTAAATATCTATACTTTGATAGGAATTTGCATGTTATTTTGGTAAACAATGTTTCATGAGTCGATTAACGCGAAAAAATTGTAAAAAGTGTAGAATCGAGAAATGTTTCGCTGTGGGAATGATCAGGGTAAGTATAAACACTAATTTCCTTTTATTAATAATCTTATAACTAATGTAATTAAAATGTTTATACACAGGAATGGCTTCCAAGTGAAAGACAACTTGAAGTTCAGCCCATAAGTAATGAAACACAAACTATTGAAACCCAGAATTATGTGATAAATGCCACAAATGAATTCATTGTTTCTCATAAAAGTGATGACAATCGAGATATAGTGAACCCAATCTCAAACTTCATAAGAGGTGTTATTTTTCAATTTAATGAATTGGAAAGTAATCGATTGAAACAATTATTCGAGTCAACTGCTTATATGAAAGACAGCAATCATTTTAAAATAACTTTTAAAACAAAAACAATTTCCGATGCCTTCCGACTCATACAAATGAGTAATGATAACAAGTGTCGAAGATTTATAAAAATGTGTAAAAATATGTCTGAATTCAGTGAACTGGGCAAAGACGACAAATTAGGACTTTTGATGGCCGGCTTTCCTAAGATTATAAGGCTTTTATCAGTTCTTAATTTTAATTTTGAGGGCAGATTCTGGACCTTACCCTTTGTATGCAATGATTATATGGTTTATAAAAATAGGAATTAAATATTCGACTATTTTTAGGACAATGAAAACGCGGCACAACTTTCTATGGATGTAATCAAGAATCAAAAATTTCTTCCCACAGAAATACATTATAAATTCATGCAAAATGTTCAGCAAGAATGCAAATCCGATATGATCATGCTAGATTTGGTATTTATATTAATATAAAATGTTGGCTGTACAATAATATATCTCATATTTATTATTTATCATACCTATAGTTATCCGCTGTTTTACTATTCAATCCAAACTGTTCAATTCTGGTCCATAGGCATTTTATTACGTGAGTTATCAATTTTATGTACAATGTCAAATATCTTGAAAAATTTTAGTTATCTATTTATAATTTATATAATCTCTTAGATTACAACAGAAGACTTACATGTATTTACTTCAACGCTATTTAGAGATTAAACACAACTCTAAGAGTGAATCCGAGACCCGATTCCGAAGATTAATGAATTGTGTGAATGAGTTACATGTTATCAATGAGTTTCGTATTCAAAACCGTAAGTATTACTCTCCATATAAAAACACATCACCTCTAATTAGACAGTTATATGAAATGGATTTGTAATTTCGAAAGAGTATTATAATTATTTTATTACATTTTGTAATATATTTAATTTAACTTGAAATGCCTTTAAATTAAAATTTTATTAAGTAATTTTCAACTGTGAAATTGTATTTGCATTAATATAAGTTTAAAATTAATTGTGTTTTGATATAGTTTATTAGCATGATGTACTTTACTCACTTGTCAATACTGTACTGTACATCAGATGTGTTCAGGTGGGTAAGAGTGAGCATTATTACAGTACTTGTAATGATTTTATTAAAAACTAATCACAAATACCATAACACATGTATGAGTAGGGATTAATAATTGCTTATAATGAAAGGGATTATAAAAATTGTCAAACAATACAACATTAATTAGCATTGACTCTAAAATTGTTTACCTGTAAAAAACATCAATAAATAATGTCTGGACACCTCTGAGTTATAAATTATAACTTATAATAGTTAATATAAATAGTTAAGTACACATGTTTGTAAATAATCGATTACTTTAATTAGATTGTATTCATTAAGTTAATTAATATAATGTTCATTTTTCGTTAACTATGTTGCTATTCCAGTTTAAATTTGGCATTTTGAGTACTTTTTATTATATTAAATGAATCTTAAAATAAAATGTTTATTATATAAATAATATAATGATAATAAAATATTATTTTACAGAGTAATTATAAACATCTATAAAGAAATTATATTTAAAAAACAAACTAAAGTGGCTATTAGTGGTGAGCATTTTTATATGCGTTAATAAATTCAATTATGCAATTATGCAGTGCCTTATAATGTTACATTCATTAATTAAGAAGTCCATAGTTTGCTTTAAGTATTCAAAATAAGTAAGTTTACTTAAAATATGTAAATGAATTATATTAATGTACAGAAATATAAAAATACAATGTCCAATATTTAATGAGCTAAGGATAATTATTATTTATCTATGATATTTATTAACATAAAGTAAATTATTGATTGTTACGCATGAATAAATACCGCATTTATGACATTCAACAAATGTTTCATAATTAACATTTGAATTACTTATAAAATGCTAATTTAGAGAAAGTAATTAAAAATGCAATTATTTTTTTTATTTCTTACACGGGCATAACATCGAATTGTTTACTACAGTAGTAGTAGTTTTAATCTATTTTCTATTTTAGTATAATTGAATTGTATTAAATATCTGTTTAATTACTGTATTATCATACTGTACATTCAATACAACTGTTTGTAGTGCAATGGATAGGTTCATGAATTTATCACTGGTTTTACCTCCAAAGTTGGTTATTAGTGGTGCGGATAACCATATGTACAGAATTGGGTTATCATTGCATAAGAATCCGTCAAATATTAGAAATATTTTTCACAATCCGTTCATTGTTTGTATATTTTTACTTCAAATGTTAATCAGAAACCTGGTTATGATTACATCGACTCGAAATAGTGATCATTTTTATTATTACTGCGGTGATGTGGGTCATTTCATGAATAGCACCGTACAGTTCAACACATTTGTGGCCATCGGATGTACGGTTGGATTGTTATCACAATTACTAAACTATTTTAACTACAGGAACGGTATCCTGAGCTCAGACGTCAAAATATTTCAGATGCTGAGCGGATCTATTAGTCCGGCAGCTATTGGTTTGGATGAGCAAGATGAATTGCTTAAATTCATTCACAAATGCAAACTATTGTTCATATTTTCAAGGCAAACAATTATATCATCAAGCTTATTGCCCATTATAATTTTCTTTTCAGTAACCCTATCGCAGAATCGTATCAACATATCACTCGTTGAGCACATAGTCGTGTCGATACCCCATTCAATCGTATGGGTAATCACTATATACTATATGAATAATTTTATTATTTTTCAATTTCTATACTATTATATAATAACTTGTTATTTGAAAATCAAACTAAAATCAGTGAATAAGCGGCTAATTTCGATAACAACTAACAATAAGTATATTGGCAAATTGTTAATTCAAATTTGTTTAAAGCATGTCAAGAATTTATATTTAATATACTCTCAAATTAATGAATTCAATGACAAGTACTGGTGCAAGTTTTTGGGTATTATGTGGCTAACCCAAAGTTTTGTCATATCTATGTTTACGTATTTTGTGATTTTCAGTCATGTTATTATTACAGTCAAAGCCATATTCACAGGATTTCTTATGTTATATGTATTCATACTATTGTTTATAATTTATATCTCTTCAAAAATATTTAATCAAACCTTTAATTCCTATGTTTTATTGAATGCTATTTATTGCTCGGAATACATTACATCGCTACATGTTAGATTAAAGGTATTTTTCTAATCATTATTGCCTTTTAAATGAATATTTTTACTTTTTATTTTAGTTAACTTATATAATAGAAAGAATTGCTGAACAAAACATTGGATTTTATTGCTGGAAGTTTTTTATCATTAATAGTTTCCGTGGGTATGAGGTATGAAAAGTTTATTCAAATTACAATTATATGAAAATTATATTTAATTGATATATATTTTTAGATTATATCGATGATTGCAGTAATGTTCATGAAGTTTATTGATGTGTTTTAATGCTAAAAATACGTGCTCAACATTTCTATAGATATATGCCATAAGCAATATGCAATATTTTTCATACCTGTACATATTGTGGTATAAAAATAAACACATATAATTGTAATTATTTACTAAATAATAATAATAAATAGTTTTGCCCTTAGAATACCCTTAAAATTATTAATAAAGTTTTTGTTTGCAGTGCATTACCTGATTAATTATGTAATGTAATAACTACATGTTTTCATGTTTATTGTAAATTATTTAGTAACTCATGAACTAAATTATTTTATTTTTGTATTACCTAGTATAACTTTTAATATACTCTACGAGATTGTAATATAATATAATTCTATAGATGAGTACAAAATAAGTGCATTTGTTTTGCATGTATTTTTTACATAAATCTAATTTTCAACAATTAATTTATACTCTATTTATAGCATTATTTATATTAAGTTATGTTTATTTTGCCGTTCAAATAATTAGTTTTTTATTTCTAGAGCCATTCATTTTATATTATAATATAATAGCATGCTTTGGTTTATCTTAATAAACTTCAAAGTATTTTCAACATAATTATATGTAAACATATTTTCTTTTGCAAAATAGGTATAAAAATATTTACATTTTATATTTCACTGCATTTTAAAAGGTTTTTTTTCCAGTACATTTATGTTATGTATAAAGGCATACCATTTCAATTGTGGAAAATATAGTTTTAATTATTAATATAGTTAACAAATTATTAAATATATTAAAATAATTTTGTGAAAATTTCTATATAAAATTAAATCAGTAACTTTAATTTAAATTTAATCTAATAAATATATTATATTATGCTTATGCTTTCCATTCATTATTTGCTTTATGACGGTACATTTATTTAAAAATTAGTTAAAAGTTTTATTATAAAAGTTTAAATAATTAATAAACATTGAATCACAAAAATGGTTAATACCCTTAATTTGGCTCAAGTCTTACCCCCGGAATTGGCTATTAGTGGCGCCGACAGCCATATGTATACAAATGGTTTATCTCTATTCCGGAGCCCAACTGGTGTTAGGAAACTATATTACAATCCATTCATTGTATTCGCGTTTACTATACAATTGATGGTCAGAAACATACTATTGATAATATGGTGGGACAGTAGCACTGAGTTGCACCTATACCTGGGAGACGTGGGTCACCTCATGGGATGTGTGGTTCAGTTCAATATAATGGTGTTCCTCATATGCCTCATCTCATTGCTCTCGCAATTGCATAATCTATACAATTATATGAAAGGTATTCAATGTAGTGATCGATTCGTATACGAAATGTTATCCGGGACCG